AACACGGGGGGGGGGTCGACGGCTGGATTCAATGAGGGACAGAGGGCCGCCGGGGGGATCGTACCAACCCTCTCCAAAAAAGAGGGGGGGAGGTCGTGCGGACTCGATTTAAAGTCCCCAACCAATGGTGTGCCCTGGTTTCGTGCCGTCGCTACAGTATTGTACGACTTCTACCTGTAGTATTTGAAACTGGTAGATGGAATGTTACGACCTCTTCGCTCCCTCTCCCCTTGACGGCATTTTTTTTTGGAAAAGTTTCTGAAAAAATGGTAAGACATCGGCAGGGCATCAGAGCATCTTAAATTTGCCGAGAAATAAGCTCTGCGGGGGTATTTATTTGTAGGAGTCTCTTTACTGTCCAAATATGAATGAGTTTAGCCTTATTTCCCATGAGGTCCTGTGTAAGTGGGAGTGTTCCAATACAATACATTTCCATCAGTTTCTCATGTTTCTCAAATCGATGCAGCTGATACTATTCAATTTTAAATTATTCGTAATATTTCAGGACAACGAGTTGGAGCATTTTCTGTGATATGTGAAAGCCCAGAGGAAGCAGCTCGCGTCGCTTCACAGCTGAAGATCCTCATCCGCCCTCTCTACTCTAATCCACCAATCCATGGCGCTCGAATTGTCACGAAAATTCTCAACAATGCAGCTCTGCGTAAGCAATGGTGAGCTGACTTTTTCCTTTTTCATACAGGAACGGAGAAGAGTGTGGACTAACATCCTTGTCTGTCTCGGGATGTGTCTTAAAGGCAGGGTCCACGTTCATTGTGTGGGCGGAGACAGTCGAAACATCGCGCCTTCGCCAGAACTTCCTACCGAAGCACGGTGAGGAGGTGGGCTTTGCGAGAAGCGCAGAACTTGACCGTCCCCGCCCATACGATTAACATGAACTGTTTGTTCGAGCTGTTGAAAAATAGTGATTCCTGGTTTCAGGCTTGTCGATGTGAAAGGTATGGCTGACCGCATTATTTCTATGCGAACTCAACTGCGGGATCTGCTGGCCAAGGAGGGATCTAAACGCAATTGGCAGCACATAACTGATCAAATTGGAATGTTCTGCTACACTGGAATCAATCCTCAACAGGTGAGACACAGCATTCCAAACTGAAGGGGTATCGGTGACATAGCAGCTCGTATACTTCATTCATTACGCGGCGCTCAGTTTGAGGGGGGGGGGGGGGGGAAGACGCGGTAGCGGGGTACGTCTGCTCTACAAAGCTGATGTGTCGCGCTTCTGCAGTCGATATAGCTGTGCTCAGTCGGGGCTTGTCAGCGAGACATGGCTTTGGGCGGCACAGCCTGTTTTCCATCGATCGCTGCGGCTTGGGGCGTTCAATGAGTGGTGGGAAAGGGAGTGGCGCCGGGCGGGAACCCACGCCCCGACTGTCTTCGTGACATGGTTCGTGACAAGACAATCGTAATATGCCGCGCTGGTGGGCGTGACGAAGGACGTCGCTCGCCGTCGCGCTGCACGGACGCTTCCCCTGCCTGGCTGTTGAGTACGGGCGTTAAAGGGAGGGAAAATTCGATATCACCTGTCATAGACTCCTGCCTGTGCTTGAATTCGTAATACTTTCCTTGCCCCAATCGACAAACTGATGCACATCCAGAACGTGTCGCGCATGGTTGTACGATACGCCGCGCGCGGCCACGCAATAAATTACGATTGTCTTGACCTCTCATTTTGAAATACAGTGTGCTTACACGCTGCTTGACTTTGTACCCTTTTCCAAGATCTGAACAAAAGGAACCATGGGAATGCTCCCATGGACCAAAGGAACTCACCAATAACGTTTCAAACGTCATGTTTCAGGTAGAAAAGCTGATCAAGGAGCACTCTGTCTACCTGACCAAGGACGGCCGGATTTCCGTGGCTGGAATCTCGTCCAATAATATCGAATACTTCGCGAAAGCCCTCCATGAAGTCACTAAATAGAAGGCTAACCTCCTCAAAAAGCACAGTCTCAACGTCCCCGTGTTGCCTAATAATTATACCAGTATAATTATAGGTTTTGTAGCTGTATAGTTTGATATGTTTATATGTCACTGTCTGTTCCATTTCGGGCATTTTTACTCGTGCACTTACTAATTGTAACACCTCAGTGCTATTCGGGACATAAATGAGTTTTACAGTACTTCTTTGTGTTCGGGGTCTTGATAGTGGGTAGGCTGGCTCCAACAAGCGAGATTGGTACAGTCTTGTTAACTGTGGACGCTGGGGCGTCTCAAAGAAACTAGGTCTGGTGCAGCTCTAGCCAGTTTACTACTGATTGTAATCGCCTGAGAGCTTCGCCGACGCGCCAAACGCGGCACCCCTGACACAACCGAACATTTGTGGCGTCTACAAACGGAGTGCCTTACTACCATCACGAATAAACGTCACCCCATTTTCACGTGTATAAGTTGCTTCTCCTTACATGGTCGCGACAACGCGCGCGCGAAAAGCTACTCAATACAGCAACAGCATTTTCAGTAACTTTTGCATATGTTGATCTTCTACCTGCCTCTTACTTGCGTAAACTAGAGCTCGAAAAATCAGGAAGGTGTGCCCTATGCACGGGTGCGCCTTATACCCCTAAAAAGACTAACTATGGGGTTCTCGAGGAAACATCGTAGTAATTACTTGTTGAGAAGTGCAGCCCACGCTGATTGTGTGGGAGGAGTGAGGTCTGCCATTGTGCCCTCGTCATTGGTGCGTTCCTTCTAAGGTAAGGAGAAGGGGCAAAACAATGAGAAAGGTAGTGTGGAAGTGACCGGCTGCGCCCATGCGATCAACGTGAACGATGCCTCTGAAACTGATTTGGCACTCATAAATTCCTGTGAATGAGCACTGATCCGGTTTTATAGCAAGAAGCTCCCATTACTGGATAACAGTAAAAAGAGAGGGAGCGCTGTTCAGGTTGGGAAGGGCATTCTGCATTGTCCTCAGCGTTGGGAACCTGTTGTTACACTAATGGCGAAACGAACGGTCTATTGGAGA